ATAGGTTTAGGGTTTAGGGGTTAGGGTTTCTTTCAAGGGAGCTATAGGGTTCCTTTAAAGGGATCTACAGGGTTCCTTTAAAGTGATCTATAGGGTTCCTTTAAAGGGATCTGTAGAGTTCCTTTAAAGGGATCTATACGGGTTCAATTTAGGGGATCTATAGGGTTCTAAAGCTTAGTTCTCCAATACCCAACCTTTTAACTTTTTGGTTCCTGTGGCTTAGTAGTAATCTGAAAGTTTAACATTGTACTTTCCTGGCTTATTGGGGAAGTAAGTGTCAGGCTTTAGAGCGATTGGTTTAGCTTTCAGGGCCTTCAGGGTGAGGGCTTAGGGCCTAAACCCTAAACCCTGCCTAGGCTGGGCCTTTAGGGTTTCAGTTTCCTGACTTTCGGGTTTAAGGTTTCTGGGGTTTTGGGCTTGAACTGGTTTAGGGTTTAGGGCTTTGGGCCGGGTGTTTCGGATGTAGCGCTTTGTTTTGCTTGTTAGGGTTCTAGTTGCTTTGACTTGACGGTTGCGGGTGCGGGCTTTCGGGCTTAATGTAGGGGTGGGAAGCAGTAGTATCAGTATTCCCTTGTAGTCACTAATAACTAATGCTAGCATAAGATACGACAAAACTGCATTCAATCGATTATGGCCCCGGTATTCGGCCTTTTTGAGATTTGAATTTAGGCTTTGGTGCCACCGTGCCAGCATTTCCGGCGATGTGTTGTTCAATCGGGCTTGGTGCTCAAGGTAAACTCAAGTTGTAACGGTTCAAAGATCTTCAGAGCTGTAAGGTTCTTGCCATAAGACTTAAAGTTTGGGGTTTCAGCTGCTAGGGCCTGCTAGGGTTTGCCGTAAAGTTTAAGCAACGGCAAACATTGGCCTTCCACTCGAACGACATCGAGAAGGCTTTGGTCTTTGGCCTTCATCACTCGGCCAAGAGCTTCACGACGTGAGACTGCTAGCTTCATGCAGCTGTAGAGTAGCGTGGAAGTTGGGAAAGCATCACATAGCTAGCTGCATGACAATCGAAAACACTGGATAGCTTTGCAGGTGCTTGCCATTCATCACCCCTAAACCCTAAACCCCAAACCCTAAACTCTACTACCACAGACAGGGGGGTTTGTCAGCCGGACACTTGAGCGTTTGTTGCATAAGCCACGCACGCGAGCTCAACGGGCATCCTACCATCAAGGACGAACTCGTTGTGAAACTTGAGTTTGGGTTTAGGGTTATACAGTAGGTTTTAGGGTTGTGAAGTTTAGGGTTTGGGGCCCGCCCTGCTCACGCAGTGTTGCGTCTGTGCTGGATGGGGTGAAGATGGTCTTGCATCGGCACCACTTCTGAGTGAGACTTCCCGAATAATCGCTGCATAGTATTATCTTAGTTCTCCAGTACCCAACCTTTAAACTTTTTTGGCTCTTATAGTTCAGTAGAAATCTGAAAGTTCATCCTTTCATTCTCATGGCTTATTGGGGAAGTAAGGTATTATTAGTTTCCCCAAGGCCCTATTTTTTATATTCAGGCCGGTGCCCTGCAATCCTGCTCATTACAGAACCTTGTAGAGCCCTTGTAGGAAACGTTGCAGGAACAAGTATACGAACTTTCTTCTAATGATGAAGGCACCCATGGAAGTTATGTTCCTACGGCGCCTTCGGGCTACGATGCAGGTAGAAGGAACTTCTCGAGCTTCGATGAACACTCAGATCCAACATATGGGTAGTTCTTTGAATTAGGGTCGTATTAGGGCCGTACTATATATATATATATATATATTGGGAACCTAACACAGGACCCTAATTTGGAAAACTGCCCATATATATAGGTCACCGAGAAAGCATAATTTGGGTTGGGCCCCTCAGCTCTAGTCGATTCATAAGAGGAATACAGAGGGACCTTAACAAACAATGAGCCGTCAGGTACGTAAATTGAGCGGGAATCCTCTTTTTTTGTTGCTTCTAGTAAGGTTCTGTTCCAGTGTTTCAGGTTTTGCTTACGCAACCTCTCGCGGGCCATTTTCAGAGTTTCCTTCTTCGTGCTTTGATGTTCAGGCTTTCCGCGGGTGGAGGGGGTGTGGTGGGGGCGGGCTTGCCGATAAGCATTGGCCTTGGCTGCATGTTGCCGTTGATGCCTTTTCCTCACTGCAGAATCCTGAAATCCTCACCACTCGCGTCACTAAGTCGCGCGGCTGTGCGCTCAGGCGACGGACCTTGCCAGCAAAGGCCTGCCTACACGCTTGCCAGAGAAGGGCATCGTGCAGTCAGAGACGCCATGGTCTCAGCTTTAGGGTTCAAGGTTTGTGGTCTAGGACGTTCAGCCTTTTAAGGTTTAGGGTTTTGGGTTTACGGTTTCGGGTCTAGGACGTTAAGGCTTTGAGGTGTGTTGCATCGGGGTTTGCTGAAGGTGCCCTGAATATTCACAATGACAGAATCCAGCTCCCTTCTCTCTACTTGCCCTATACTTCTCTCTAGTTAGCCTACCGGCACAGGGTGCTGAGCTCGGGCCGTTCGTGCCTCAACTTAGTTCTCCAGTACCCAACCTTTGAACTTTTTCGGGTTCTTCTAACGTAGTAATCTGAAAGTTTAACCTTTGATTTCCCTGTCTTATTGCGGAAGTAGTATTCTGCGGCAATAGGACTAGGGTTTCTTGGTCAGGTTTCTACAGTACCCGGACGCCTGATCTAAAAAACTGAGCTCCGGACAAAGACCTTACTGTAGAGGCCTAAATATATACCTATAGTCTTTTGGGGGTTCCATGTTACATTTATAGTATAAACTACCCCAAAACCCTATTCTAATTAGTAAGGCCCCTATATTATCTAGAATCAGTATGGGTAGTTCTCTATCCTAGGGTCCCATGTTAGGTCCCCAAGATAGTATGGCACCCTCATAAAAAAGGACCCTAAAAGGGATTCAAACTTAGACAACTCCCCGTATGATGGTGCGGCCTTACTCTAAGGTCCCCACTCTTCACCGTGTTAAGGCTATAGGGTTTAGGGTTAACCCCAAACCCTAAACCCTAAACCCCAAACCTTAAACCCTAACGCCTAAACCCTAAACCCTAAACCCTAAACCCGTAAACCCTAAGCAAAAACCCGGCTAGATCTTCCACCAAACCTCAGCCAACCCCTTTCCTCCCCTGCCCACCTCAGCCCTCAAACACGGTTTAGGGTTTAGGGTTTAGGGTTTAGGGGAGCACTAACAAAAATACACCTCAAAAGGCAACATCCCTGTGATCTCGAGAAAGTTTCAGCTTTGTCCCAAACAGCAGTATGAAGACCCGTTGAACCCCTGAAACCCTTAAACCCTTAAGCCCCTAAACACTTGAATTGTTTTTTGGAACATGGAGTTAGGATGAGTAGTGCAAAGACCCCTTACATTTTCCTTAAAGGCACCAGGATAATGATGTTCCAACTTTCTGGTTCCCTCTTTATAACCCTAAACCCTCAAGAATTTGAACCCTAAACCCTAAAACCTAAACCCTAAACCCTAAACCCTAAACCCAAATTACAGTCTCGGAAAGAAAGAAAAAGCCTTCAGAGACTCCAATATCCCTTAATTAAGGAATATTCCTTAAATTATAGTAGGATCCTTAATATGATTTAAGGTCTTTTCCTTAATTAAGGGATATTCCCTAAACCCTAACCCCGAAACCCTAAACCCTAAACCCTAACCCCTAAACCCTGCAACCCTAAGATATATTCCTTAATTAAGGGGTCTTCGAGTCTCCTCGCTATGAAGGCGCCGACAGAGCCGGGAGAGTCCATTTGCTCGCGAAGTCTCCCTCTCCGGGAATCCGTCGCCCCCTCGTCTCATGTGGGGTTTCGGGTTTAAGGGTTTTAGGGTTTAGGGTTTAGGGTTTAGGGTTTAAGGGTTTAGGGTTTAAGGGTTTAGGGTTTTGGGTTGAGGGTTTAGGGTTTAAGGGTTTAGGGTTTTGGCTTGAGGGTTCAGGGTTTTTGGGTTGAGGGTTTAGGGTTTAAGGGTTGGGGTTTAGGGTTTAGGGTTTTGGGTTCAGGGTGTAGGGTTTGAAAAGGATAAAATAGGGGCCTCAGCAAGTTCCTATACTATTTTGGGGTTTTCCTTATTGTAATTAGAGTATAATGGGCTCCCAAACCCAAGTCTAATTATTAAGGCCCCTACATCACCATGGCGGTTCAGGGAATTTGGGATTTTGGGCTGAGGAGCTTTGGCTTCGCAGTTGTTCAGTGCCTCGTGTTTGGGGTTTTCAGGTTTTGGATGCATGTTTCGGTTGCTGGGTTTCCGAATTTTAGGGTGTTGTTTGCAGGGGTTCGCGAACGGTATGTGTGTAAACCTTTCGTTTTGAGGGCATGCCTCAGTCTTTGCTACCATTCTTGAGCAATGTGGACAGTGCTGATGCATTTCATCCTTGTCGCGAGAAGGGCCTGACAAAAAACGCTACTTGCTCCTGATTTTTTGTAGGCTGCCGGAAGGCTGCGGCTGAAAGTAGAGTTCCGGAGGCAGGTGAAAAGGTTTTTAGTTTAGACCTTTAAGGTTTCTGGATTTATAGAACCCTAAAACCCTAAACTCTAAAGCCTAAGCCCTTAAAACGTAAACCGCTAAGCCCTAAACCCTAAACCCCTAAACCCTAAACCCCTAGGCCTTAAATTTTACACCCTAATCCTACACGTTGGGCCTCCGAAGGACGTAGTCATACAGAAGCAGAAGCAAGAAGATTTACTATTACTCAGTTCTCCAATACCCAACCTTTAAACTTTTTGGGCTTTGACAGTTTAGTAGTAATCTGACAGTCTACCCTTTAATTCCTGGCTTACTGGGGAAGTACTTTAATGTTACATATCCCTTATTTAGGTCTCTTACTATATCTATACCAGAATATGCCTGAAGAATTGCTATAATATTGATATCACACGTCCCTTCGGGCTCCTTAATGTATTCATACCGGCCATAACATACCCCACTATGCTACTTGCTAAAGCTTCGATATTCGCGTCCAAAGGCCCTTCTTTTGTATCTCTTTTTTTAAATCTCTTTGAGGTACTTAGGGAGGTTTTAGGGTTTAGGGTTTAGGGTTTAGGGCTGAGTAGGTAACCTTTAAGTTTTGGGGCTTATATGATCCTATACTTCAAAAGGTTCACCTATGCTGGGCTAGGGTACTCAGCCCCTAAGAGTAAGCCCTGCCTGCTAAGAGCGATCCCTGAGCCCTGACATCCCGGGGAAGGTGAACGTCGAGAGCCTAGGAAAGCTGCAACAACAAGGGCAACTCCGAGCCAAGGTCCAAAACGAGCCCGTACCGACGCTCATGCAACCGCGGCATCTTCACATTCCGATCAGCTACCTCCTGAACATCCTCCACCAGAAGATGAACCTGAAACAACTTGGGTTGAAGCTCTCGTTCCCGACGCAGCTGTTGAGTACAAGTTCCGGTTCACGAAGGAGGATTCCACCTGGTGCCAGTCTTCCATTCTGGAGACTCAGAGACTCCAATATTCCTTAATTAAGGAATATTCCTTACATTCTAGTAGGATCCTTAATATGACTTAAGGTATATTCCTTAATTAAGGGATATTGGAGTCTCTGGGGATTGCAAACAGGGTAAATGAATACCCGCACTAAAAACCGATGAGACACCAAAGTACGCTGCCAACTTGCTGGATGGCAATCTGCCCGTCGAGCATGACCTTCGACGTCTTGTGACCTACCTCGCTCGAGCCCTGTGATTCGATAAAAGAGCACTTAGAGGATCAGTGGACTTAGTAAGTAGGGTCAAAAAGTACATATAACAGGGTTACAAGTAGATAGAACTGGAGTTGCTTTTGCTTATAGCATCTTATAGCCCTACTTAACTGGTCACCTGAACCTCCAAGTATAAGTATGGTATAACATACCCCGAAAACCCTATTCTAGTCATTAAGGCCACTATACTACACCCATAATCTAGTAACGTAAACAGAGAGCAGATGTCTTAGAAGTTGTGAAGGAACGAGTGCTCCCTCCAGGCGGCCTTGACAGCCTAAAGACCCGTATGAGGTGTGGACCATTCCTTGTTAATGTTAATGTTGACTACAAAAAGCCAAAGTAACTATGGCACATGTACACAACGTGAAGCCTGAAACCGAAGCTTAAACAGTTGAAATGCTCCGTATATAGAACCTGAGAAGGTTAAAAAGTCACACCATTACCCCTAAACCCCTAAACCCCGAAACCCTAAACCTGAAAAAACCTCTAAACCCCAAAACCCTAAACCCCTAAACCCTAAACCCTAAACCCCTAAACCTCTAAAACCCTTAACCCCAAACCCTAAGCCCCATTAGCTTCAAAAGCATTCAAGGCCGTAAAGGCCTTGAAGCCTTGAGCTGAACCCTGGACCTTAAAAGCTCTGAACCCTCAAGCCTCCTGCCTAACATCCAGAAAATCCTTGCAGAGCACCGGCAGACCCCATAAAAGCCCAATAATCTCCCTGCAAAGCATTCCTAGAGAGCCGGGTTTTTTCCGCAATCAAGGGATATTACTGCTCTCCGCTACAGCCCGATAAAAACGACCATGACACCCTTTGAACCCTGAGCCCCAAACCCATCCTGAACTTTAAACAAACCCAAAGCCTTATAAACTCCATAAACCTTGAGCCCCAAGGCCCATAAACATCCTGCCAAAACCTTATTAAAAGATCCCGTACCTAGGCCCTAAACCCTAAACCCTAAACCCTAAACCCAAAGGCCTATACGAAGATCCTGTGCCGAGGTCGATAGCCTCGGCCGCATTAGGCCCCGACGCCAGCGAGTCCGTGCCCTGCCGTCGCGTGCGCTACGAGGAGGCTCGGGGCTCACCCTTAAACCTAAACCAGGCTTAGGGTTTGGAATTTAGGGTTTAGGGTTTAGGGTTTAGGGTTCAGGGTTCAGGGTTCAGGGCTTAGGGTTTAGGGTTTAGGGATTTTGGTTTAGGGTTTAGGG